CCACAGGCTGGAGGTGGCAGCTCCAGAGCCGCGCTGGCTAGAACCGGACAGTCCTGGGCTCCGTGCCCCAGGGTTTGCTCAGCGCTGGCAGCTGGCGTGTCTGCTGCAGGCACAGGACTGTTCTGGGCGGATCTGTCTGCCTGTGCAGGGTTGCCCACGAGTCCCACGGTGCATCTGTGTGTTCGTGGGGACCCAGCCCTGCGGGCCCTGTCACCTGTGTTTCCTGCGGGTTCCCGTGCGTGCAGTTGTCTGGCGTGGCACACAGGGACGGAAGGTGTGGAAGGTTCTGGGGTGCGTTGTTTTCACCAGCGTGTGTGCACACGCGTGACTTGGCTGTAAGACATGAAGGAGGCGGGGCTCCGGGGAGCCCCTCAGCCTGGGTCTCGGTTGCCAAGTCTGTGCTGGTGGTCTGGGCACGTGGGCACACATGGTGAGGCAGGGGGGCACGGACAGAAAAGGCAGCTTCTGGAAATGCCCCTCGTGCTGAGGGCAGGTGGAAGCGTGGGGAGAGGACTGGGTGCTGTTAGGCCAGAGTGGATGGTCTGTGTTTAGGCTGCGGGCAACGGGATGATAATGAAAGACGCTGCAGTTGGAGCCTGGAGACCGGGTTTGAGTCTGAACCTGGTGGTGGCCACTAGGATGGTAGTGGTGTACCTGTGCCTGTCATTCTGGGGCTCAGCTGCCTTGTGTGCAACATAGGACGAGCAACCTGTCCTGCTTGCCTCGTGAGGTGCCTGGGGCTCCCACTAGCTCACCCCCAGGAAAGTGCTTTGACAGCAGGAGGTCTCCCAAAGCAAAGGGGCAATGCTGGGCCCACGGCGCCAAGTCAGGGCTTTGGGGGGCGCTTCGGGGGCCTGGTCTGCAGGTTGTGGAAGGAGCTGTCTTCCTGCTGCTCCCCAGGGCCGTCCAGAGAAAGGAGCGTCTGCCCGGGACCAGGTCTCCATCCCTGGTGGGTGAGGTGTGTGCAGGCCTGTGTGGGCCGTCCAGCAGCACAAGAGGAGCCGGCTTGGCTGGTCTTTAAATCGTAGCCCTGGAGCAGCGGGGCTGTGCCGAGCGCCTCCGCCAGCTGAGCCGGGACCTTCACACCCGCCGGCTGGATTTTCTTCTTGTGCCACCACTGGCAGCTGCCTGGGGCATCTTCTGCAGTTCGCAGCCTGGAGATGGGAGAGGAGGAAGCGCTCTGTCCTAGGTCACCAGCCTGGGCTGTCACCCTCAGGGTTCTGTCTCCTGGTGACAGAGCCTCCAGCCCCCCGGACCAACACTGTTCCTTCGGAGGAGGCCAAGGAGGGTGTCCAGAGTCCTGTAGCCCCAGACTTTGAGACACGACTGTGATTTGTCACTCTTGGGTGTCACCTGTCACCAAGGCTTCTTGGCCTGTAGTAGGAGCTGTTCAGTAAATACTGCAAAAGTAAGGTGCCCTGGCCCGGGGAGCCTGGAAACCCGGATGAGGTCCAGCTTGGCTCCCTGCCCACCGCATGACCTGGGGAGAGGCCCTTCACCTCTCTGCGTCTGTTTCCTCATTGCTTAAAAGCAGCATCTTTCCAGATGATCGTTCTGATCTCGGCTCACGTTACCCGTCCTCACGGAGGAAGTGACCCCTTATCTAAAGTAGCTGCCTCCCAGCCTCGGTCACATCGCCCTGATCGGTTCCCTTCAGAGCACTCTGCGCCGTCTGAACCTCTCTCTGCTGTACCAGCCACACCGAGAGCCTCGTGGTAGAGAGGACTCCTTGTCCTGTTGCCTGCGGGCTCACGGCGCCTGGAAGCTAGTGGCTGCTCCAGAAAGGCTGTGTCTGTGGGCGAATCACCAATTAAGGGGGATGGGTGTGTGTCTTTCAGACTGTGGTCCCGGGAGCTTTTAGGGGGAGCGGCCCCACAGGCAGGCCCCTGGGCTCCGCGCACCCCCAGCTCGAGGCTGATCTGAACTGCAGACTGCCTTCTAGGTAGGACTTTGTTTCAAGAAATGGCCCTCCCACCAAAATAAAACTAGAAAACTATTGTGTCAGAAGGCGATGGGGCCTTTTCTACTCCAAGTTGAAATAACAGTCCTGGGGCCGGGAGTAGCACACCCCCGGCCCTCGGAGGGGACCGAAGGCCGTGGCTCAGACCCTCAGCGCCGTCGCCCCACCCGGCGTCTCTGCTTGGCCATGGGATTCCTCATGTAGTGATTTTGTTGCAACTGCTTCGATTTCCTGAGTTTGGGGTCAGGGTTAATGTGAAAGTGGTTTTGCATGCAGTACAGCAGTGGGAGTCCGGGGCTCTGGACCAGGAGGACACAGTGGACACTGCAGAGAGGATAGGACGCACGCTGGGACTGGAGAGCCGCCCGTCTGTCATCGTCCTGCCTCGGGTGTGTCCCGGGCAGACTGCCTGTGTGGGTCTCACCCGGGAGTTTGCTCAGCTGGGTTTTTCTTGAGGAGTTGGCCCTTCTCTCTGAGCAATTCCTGAGCCCAGAGGCCTCGGTGGATATTTAAGCAGCCATGTCAGCTCCATGGAAAACATCCCCCATTTGTCTCTTCCTATAAATTCATTTGTGAATGGTGGGGTGACTCCCAAGTCCAGTGCTGTGCCCGGTTTTGGGCACAAAATGCAGGTTAACCGTCACCTTTGCTGAGCCCTGGGAGCGGGGCATCAGTGATGGGGTGGGGAAGGAGGTTGAGCTGTTCCGGGGAGTGTTTCAGATGGCTGGTTGAGGAGGGAGACTGGAGAGAAATGGGGAGAAGGGACCCGAGTGCAGACAGAGCTGTCTGTTCATCCCTTTGACCGTTGACCTTGCTTCTTGTACGTGTCCCTGCTGGGCAGACTCTTGTGGGCTCCCGGGTCCATGAGGTTTGTAACCTCCAAGACAGCACAGGCAGAGGACAGAGCCCACAGAGGTGGTGGAGGGAGGCGAGGGGCCCGGGGATCGGGATCGACATCCACACGTTCACCAGAAGCCTTGACCCTCCAGGCCCGAGAAATCCACAAAGCCCCGGCCCCGACCTCCGGGCGTCTAGTGGTGAAGGAGATGAAATTAAGTCCCAGGAGGAGAGGGGGGAACAGC